GAGTAGCAGTTTTCATTTAGTGATTTGGATTGTAGTGAATGTGGAGTAGCAGTTTTCATTTAGTGATTTGGATTGTAGTGAATGTGGAGTAGCAGTTTTCATTCAGTGATTTGGATTGTAGTGAATGTGTTGTAGCAGTTTTCATTCAGTGATTTGGATTGTAGTGAATGTGTTGTAGCAGTCTTCATTCACTGATTTGGATTGTAGTGAATGTGGAGTAGCAGTTTTCATTCACTGATTTGGATTGTAGTGAATGTGGAGTAGCAGTTTTCATTCACTGATTTGGATATATTTTTCAGTATGATATTCAATTAATGCATACATGAAAAGGATCAACCCATACAATTAAACACAATAGTGAAAACAAATGAAACAAAATATATATATATATCAATAGTTTTTTCTTACAAAGCATAAATAAATATTCCATGTATGTGATTGAACAGAATAAAACTAATTATAAAGATTAGTAAAACAGTTTACTGTAAACATCTTGAAAGTTCCGAATTTTTTCTATTTTGTCTAGACAAAGGTTCAAATGAAAAAAAAAACTGCTCAAACTGAATAACCAATATAGTTTCAATGTCATATATTATCTTCATTTCACATTACCTGATTCCTCTCCATTACTGCTGTCATCAGTAGTACTACTTTCCACGTTTCCCTCCCCACGAGCAAAATCTAACTGTTTGTTTAAATCTTCATCATTTTCATCAGACGTTTCATCCACTTCTTCAGATTCATCTGAAACCAGATATTACATTTTTTCAATAATATTTTTTTACCCAAGTAAGAAATGTTTATGTTTCCTTTACAAATACAAAACCCATTACGTTTAAACAAAATTATTCAATGAAACTGTACAGATAGAGAAAAAAGGCTAGTTCCAAGTCATTTCTACCTAGTATTTTCTAAACTCAGAAAAAATGGCAATATGTTCGCATGAGAGTAACACAATCATTTTTAATAGATAACAGCATGTTTGGTTCAGTGTCCCTCTGAGTAGATAACTTTGATTTCAATGTACAATCTTTGAGAGTGAAGCTGCATTTTTTCTAAAAATAAACAAGAACAATCGTAACATAGTAAATAACTCTTAAATATTTTCTACCATTGTAGTTTTTTACCCGTTTTACTATGGCTTAAACAATAATTCACAAATATGTTTTTCAAAGTTGATATTTAATACAATTTTCATTTATCTGCATAGTTTTTACATAATATCACTTTAAATACAAAAAAATTTGCATTTTGGACATGACTTTTATTTTACATTTTATGAACAGAATGGTAACACCTATCTTAGTAAACTGGACAGTTATTTTAAGGTATGTTGGATTAAAACATCTCATGAAATATTTACCTGAAACACTCTTGTATATTATTTCATTATCTTCAACATTTTTTGTGCTTGTTTTCTGTGGCTTTGTCTTAACACTGGATTTAATAATTTCTGTTTCAGGTACTGAATCAATCTCATCTGATACTTTTTCCACTGTTTTTTTTATGCTTCGACTCTTGTTCCTCTTTTTAATCTTTAATTTTTCATCTTCACTTTCACTGCTATCAGAAGAACTTAACTCGTAAAACTTCTTTAAGTCTTCTGAGCTAGTATGACTTAAAGGACGACCACGCTTATCCATCATATACTTGAGTTTGAAGCGTTTATCACTGAACATTGATTGAAAACGCTTATCAATTGTAATTTTTTTCTCTTTTCTAGGAACAGTTCGAAAGCGTGGATCTTTATCAATGTTCGCAAAACGTTCATCTTTTTGTTGTTTATCCATGGCTATTCTTCCTAATTTATCTTCAATAACTGTTTATAATTACCAGCACTTGTAAACCTATGTTGGAAAAACATTTTATTAGTATGAATTGATATATATGAAATTAATATCTATGTTTAGATCTTTTAAAGAAAAAAAAACAGTTACACAGTTAACAGTAACTTCATCTTCATAAAAATACTGTATTCATTCTTTATTTTCAATTTTATGTAGTTTATCAGAAACAAAAGAACCATAATGAGCAATAAAAAAGAAAATAGTACAATAACATATCAAAACCAAACAATGTTAGCTTTACACTATCACATGCAATCTAATAAAACATAAGACATTACTAAGAGCCAAGCATAAGCCTTGTTTTAATTAAGGGGATACTATTTAAAACAAGTTACCTGCCTGGGTCTTCAATCCTAGTAATTTTGGAGATAGGGAAAAGATCTCACACAACTAGTGTGAGCTAAAGGAACTAGGTTCAAAAAAGAAAATCAACAAATCCAAAAGCACTGTAGACCTCTTCAATAAAATTAAAGAAATACAAGTTAATAACACACACCATATCATTACGCAAACCATTACACAATGTTATTATACTTCATCATAGTTTCAAAAGTTTAAACCCTATTACCCTTACATGTACATGTATATTCTAGTTTTTAGCGACTGGGCTAAAACGGAAAATAAAACTTTTATATTGAGTAATGTAAAACCATACATTTTGAGTACAGGTATTTGCAAAGAACTTACTTTCTGCTTAAAAGAGGTACTGCTGCTATGAAAAAAACAAACAATTCATGCATTATTGTTAAGATATAAAAAAAACTTCTCCCAGTGTTTAAGCATGTTGTATAGTAAAAAATATATTCTTTATTCTCTTTACAAGATTTCTCAATTTAGGAATAAGACAGTTATAAATTCTGGTGAAAAGTAACTTATATGCAGTTTTGACCTCTTAATACACAAAGGATATCAATTTGTTGGAAGGATTGCAGAGACAAGCTATTAGGTAATACCTGTATTTTCAAGTATTTTAAGCATTGAAGAGAGGCTTGATATTTTGGGCTTGTTTTTTTTTTTGTCAGAAACATAAAAGTAAAGTCTTAATTCAACAATTAAAACTTTGTTTAGAGAATATGAATAGATTTCTCATGTTTTTTAAGCTTTTTAAAGACTGCCTCTTCTTTATTGTAACTAGAATTTTAAACAAAATTTTCCTTAAAACTGGTAACTATAGGAATTTCTTATTCCTTATTAATAAAACATAAGAAATAATGTTTAGAACTTTAACATGTGGGATTCCACCATAGGATAATAATAAAGTAACAAGGTTTCCTATAAAACACTATAAGGTATCAATAATTAAATATTATCCTTTAATCTCTTTTCTTATAGTTAAAGTAAGCATAAGAATCAGTTAAATCAAAAATATGATACAAAAATTATATAACTCCATCTTAAAATCAGTATCTTTGACTGAGATATCACACTCACAAATTATTTCCTCTTCTCTAATTATTACAAGTTTAACACTATTGTATGTATCACGATTTCTATTCAATGATATCAAGTTTTTTGGTTATTATTATACACGTAATTTGCCAACAAAAAGATAAATATCAAGTTTTTTAAGACAGTGATGTACATATGAGCACACTATAAATGAAACTTTAGTGCTATAAAACCAATTAATCTTTATTAATTCTTTTCCACCTACTCTTTATATTTCTTCACATTGTACTTTTATAACAAAATGAGGAAAATTGTTGTACTTCATAAAACTGCAGAACTATAATCCTGCTGTCTTTTCATCCTCAATACTGAGGAAATTTGTTCTTTACTGGCTGATGCTACTAGCCTTCATTGGAGTATCAGTTAATATACACAAATTTCTTCTGTTATTATATTCAACTTAAATTGCAACAGCATGAATACTTGTTACAATCAAATGAAATTTATCATTCTGTCAAACCCTCACATTCATCAAGCACTACCACAATACAATACAGTAATATTTTGCAAAGTATAAACTAAGGTTATGGTGAAATAAAAGGCCCAAACTTTATATGTTAATTTTTACCTAACACATGTGCAATATAAAATATGGGTAGAAGAATTTATGTGAAATTCAAATTTTATAACACTTTAACAGACTTTTTTAAAATTTATAATGGCATAAATTCAAATCAAAAATGGTAGAGGAAATACAACACCATACAAGTACAAGTTCTTAGCAAAATTTGTGTAAAAATTACTTAATACTTTGTTTTTAAACTTATGCTTACAGTGTCATTTATTTATCTTTTACACTTACAGTCACTTACTCTTTAAGTTTAATCATATATTAAAAGTCAAAAATTAACATTTGATAGTTTAGGTCTTATAGTTATACTTATATGCAAAAAAAAAAAGTATTAACATGGAGTTGGGGGCCTTCACCATAAATAATGCAAAATAATATTATGATTATTTATATCAACTTTACACTAGGTAGTACTACTACTACTACTATTGAGTAGTACCATTAAATTTAAAGTTAAACTGCCACAAACATACTTGCTTGGTTCCGTTAGTATAGATATCGATAATTACTATATCACCAACAATACTAACCTGTGCAACTAACTTCTCTCTCAAGTTCACTTAATCTGAAACAAATTATTATTAACAAAAACATTTAAACTTAACGACATTGCTAATGCTAAGCCTACACACGTGGTATTACTAGTACTACCGAGTAATAAATATACACCACAGAAGTTAACTTTAAACAAGTTAAATCTCGCGATACTCACTTACCAATATATGTCCACAATAACGCGAACAGCTTAAAACATTAAATGCAATTATCTATGTGTTTAATATTTCTTTTCTTTTTCTTTGACTGCTGTCTAATATTGAATTCGACGTAATGTTATAACATTATTCACATACCTAAAATGCTATATTAATGTAGCTTACTATATCATATATGGTACAGTAAAACGAAGTCAAAATCCCATATAAATTCAATACAAGCATTTATATATATTTAAATCGACTTGCAGTTTTATCATAAGGTGTAATTTTAAAAAGCTTTCACTTTCATCTTTCTTATTTAATCTGTAATTAATGGAAGAAATAATTTGTGTTAAGTACATTAACACTTCGAAATGCTTTCCCCTGGTGGATGAGCAGCAAATTTGAGGACTTACAACGCTATATTCCGCGATTTAATTCCTCCCGGTAGATAGAGTGTAAATAGCCCGCTCTATAGTTTAACGCGAAAAAAAAAACAACAACAACAAATGAACAAACTTTGGGAAGGGAGGAGGAGACCAGTTTATTTGGTTTCTTGCGTTAAATCCAGTTGCGGTTATTGTTTTGAGTAAGAGATAATGGACTGCTAAATTCTCACAATATTAAAGTCACTTCTATTGTGGCCTTATGAATCTGCAATGAAAAGTTTGGTCCAAATGTAGTAATTTCAAAGATAAATCTAGCCCAGTAAACCCACACTAACCTGATCTTTGCAAAAACTAGAGATTAGAAGATCTAGTACACTGAGTAGTCACAAGTAAATAGACACCTAATTTTTCGTCATTTAACCGATTTATGCTAACTAATTTGTGTTCACAAAGCACTATATAAATGAAAATGGTCCGCACACTAATTATCTTGTGCTACAACATGCCTAGAACTCAAGGTTATCTCGAATTGTTAGATTTTGTTGGAGAAAGAATAGTTGGTCAAGCAGATGGTGGAATAAATCAGCGGCAAATTTCGCAAAATTTGGTAATCCCGCTTTCGACGGTCAACAGAATCATCGTGCAGTTCAGGAAACACGGCAAGGAAACAACTGAGCAGCGTCCGGGTCATCCTGGTCCATCGGAGAGGACAAAAAGGGCTGTCAAGTGGAGCATCGAAATGGATCCCAGATTAACGACTCCAGAAGTGACCAAAGTTGGTGGGATGAGCCCGAAATCTGTTCAACGGACTCTCCACAGATTGGGTTATCGTTCAGAGCTGCCAG